TGCACACAAACGGATAAAAATCAACGAATAAAAATAAAATTGAGAAAATGAAATTGCGTATATAGTATCTATTTTTTCAATTTTTTTTTTTGTTTAAATATTACCCGTGAAAAATTGGAGATAATAATATTTCGAAAGATTTATAAAAATAAGATTGGAGAATACGATATCATATTTTTTTTATTCTCTCTCTCTATATATATATATATATAATCTTTTTCCTCTCCTTTCTAAATTGGAAAAGATTCAATTATGCTCAGTTGGTACGTATGGCATTACGTCTATAAGAGGAATCGATGGAAAGATTTCATGGAAAAATTTCTCGACCGTGCAATTATGTTTCTGACGTCCACAACCTTTTTAAATTTCCATCCCTCTATGTCACTCTCGGCGTGTCACTCTCTTTTACCCACATCCTCCACACGTCCTCCATTTCGAACAGCTCCCCTCCCCTTGCTCTCCCCTTTTTTCGGCCGATACACCATATTCTATCATGCATATCAACGATGATATCAGATTGAACCTGTCGTTGATAATTTGTAGAAATTCTACGTATCTGACGGATAGACGTCAGGGAAATTCCTTCACGTTCCTCGACAAACTTTAACGAGATATTTTATTCATGAAATTTTACGTGTAATAATGTAAGAAATGTAAATTGTAAACAGCCACTCGATAATTTTATCGATCGTTTCTCTAGCGTGAAAGAAGGTGAAGAGAAAAGGAAAACTAAAAAAAAAAAAAGTGAAACTCTACCAGATTTGAGGAGAATAATATTTTTAATTTTGAAAAATATTATTGTTGGAGTTAAAAATTCTAAAAATTGGTGAAAGAATAAAATTTGTTTGCTCGCGAATAAAAGGATGATGAAGATATCTATCGAGATGAAATTCGAAAATTCTCGAACATTTTTCAAGCATGCAGTGGAACCGTTTCGTGGATAATCGATACGCGAGAGAGCAGAGATAGAGTTTCCGTTGGGAAACCACGATTCAAGTGGCACAATTCCGTTTTACCGGTCGGTAATTAATAGTTTTCCAACGTATCGACAGGACGAAAAAAATTTCGATCTATCTTTTCTCGAGAAGAGCGACGAATCATCTGCATTATACAACAAAAGATAGTTTAATACTAATTGCATCTTACAAGAGAAACGGACAGATTAATTCATTATCAGAATCAACAGGTAATAAATTAAAAATCAATTTTCACTAATGGAAAAATTTAACGTAGCATTCTTCTCGAGAAATAAATTCACGATAAAACTGTTTCTAATGTAATATTCGTAAGAGAGTGAGAGAAATGATCGAACATGTTGAAACGTGACAAAATAAATTTTTCAAACGAAAGAGATTCAAATGAAAGAAACACAAATTTATTTATTATATAAATTGATACATTTCATCTTTATTTCATTTTATAACGCCACTTCGATAAACCGAGAAAATTAACCGAGGCATCCTCTTCTCGGCAATAATTCAACCGTGGCGTCCTCCAATCGACTTTCGACTTTCAAAAGGAACCTCTTCTTCCTGCAATCGAAGAAAGGGGGACGAAGGAAATTCAGTCGAATCGATCCTCGGTGAAAAGACTTCGAATAGGGGTTGAATCGAGGGTGGTTTTTGCGCCCGATCGTGTTTCCACGGCCGTGCACTCGAGGGTCTCGTGGAAGCGGAAGTGGAGGAGTCGAGTCGCGAGATCGGACAACTCGTAAGATATACGCTA